GGTAGGAGGGTGCCATTGTGATGGTTTGTTACACTTGTACTTTGAAATACTTACAAAAACCAAAATCCGATCTTAATTGTCTAACCGGAGAAACAGCATCATTCAACCCCAGTCCGTGTAAGCCTATCACAGTGAGTCAACTCCTGTCCATTAGGATGAGCTATCACGAACGGCTTCCATCTTCTCCAGTCAAACCAGTTAGGTCCACCTGTTGTTATATTGTCAGTAGGTCTAATAAGGTCTAATAAGGTCTTATAAGGTCTAATAATGGCTAATAAGGTCTAATAAGGTCTTATAAGGTCTTATAAGGTCTAATTAGGTCTTATATAATGACAACATGTTGCTTGTCTTTGTATTTAGACAATTGTGTAGCTAACTTCCTGATAGGATTGGAATTGGTTGATGATTTAATTAATACTGTTCTCTTTTTTTATACTGGTATGTATGTAACGTCACAAGATTATAGATGGCCAGGCCAAGGTAAAGAGTTCACCAACTAAACCATTTTCCTCTATACCTAGGCAGGCAAACAGTTATCTCACAAAGCTATTTTCTGCTATACCTAATAAAATAGTTCTCTCACTCACTAAACTGCTTTCCTCTATACCTAAGTCAATATTACACCCACTCAGCTGTTTCTTCTCATGATCAGCTATAACAGTAGGAGGCGAGTATTGTAGCTATTGCATCATCCGACCACAAAAGACTTTCTGATGGCGATATATTCTTGCAACCTAGCCTCAATCTTTTCGAGCGTTTTGTGACTCGTTTCGAACCTAAATTTTCTGACAATACTTCATTTGTTCCAAAGGATATTTTACTTTCATTACCTCAATGTTATGGGGTCTATTTGCTTCTACCATTTTGTGAGTGGTCATTCGGAATTCTGTAAGTACTATAGTATCCCGAATTGTTTAACCGTTTGGAATTCCAGTATGATCACTCTGGGAGCTGGCCTCATGCCGAAGATAATTCACTTCGGCTTTTTGTACGGGGGTGAAGTGCATTTAAATAAGGATTGAATTTCATTTCTTTCCCTTAGTAAAGAAGAACTGACGGTTTTACCAATATGAACCCTGGTCTTTATTCACTTCATTTAAGTACACGATGGGTTTCCACGAATATTTAAATGTTTGTTTTGGCGTATTGGCATGGTATGATATTGGGCTCCTGAGAGTAGATATGAGGGTCATATGGTAGTTTAAGTAGATCCTTGTATCATGAATTTCTCTAGAATCTGTATGTCTTTATATGAGGGTAGTTGTAAAATAGCACGTAACTTAAAGGTTCCTAAAAGCTTTCAAAATATTATACCTGCTCTTCGTTTTCATCAGAAAATTTCAGAATAAAATGGTAAGATGTCAGCTGTGTGAATGAAGTAGCTTGTTACTCACCGTTCGGAACTTCATAACTTTCATTCGGAACCTTACATAAGTACAACAACCATCCAAAATGTTGACGATAATCCGTGTTGAGCCCCAGCGTTATGATACACTGACTATACCTCCTGTTTGAAAGCATGTTTAGCTTAATGTACAATGACCGCGAATATTCAAAAAAGAAATATTCAAAGATTTTATTTCCTTTAGTTAATCATAGTTTTCATTGCCAATCTTCAAAACACAAATTCTTTATATACAATTTAAGGGTAATGATTTGTCTTCAATTATGGTTTGTGAATAATAATAATAATTCTTTATTGCTCCTACAAGCTAACCATACATTGATTATCTGTCCAACGCGGACCACGAGTCGGAGCTATTAACATACAATGTCTGCTAACAAGAGAAGATGGCCAATAATGATAATGGAAAAGGGTTTGCCGCATACATGTTGAGTATGGCACTCCCGGGACAAGTTAAAATGATAAGTTCTAAATGTGTCATCAATACGTGTCGTGTGAATACGAGGAATAGAGACACAGCTTCCCTTACCCTAGCCTTCCCTCGCGCACAGATGTTGTAGATACGAGGAAAAGAGCGACAGCTTCCTGCTACAGTTACCCCTATCTTAGCCTTCCCTCAGACACAGATCGTGTAGATAATTCTTACAGCTAAGGTGATCTCACATTAAAGGTAAAGAGTACCATCATGTTACGATACATTGTTACATTAAGCGCTGCTATCAAATTTTTAAGTAATTTTCTACAGATGTATTCTTTACTCATTTATACATCTTACCATGTCTTTGACAAAATAACAGTTGCTCGAAATTTGTTTGAAAATTTGGAAACAATAGATAATGGACACTCCTTGTAAAGGTCTCGTATCGTCAAGACAAGTTAACACAAAACTTTAAGCTTATGATATATATATATATATCTTTAGCGCGGAGAATCGGCCAACTTTTGTGAACATTTATTCAAACACAATTCCACAAGCGAATAGATGTATTTATAATATAACTGATCCATTTTACTATGTCATACGGCCATATAAATATGTGATAAAACCTAAATATGCTGCGATTGGTCAAAACCTTGGTAACATATATTCCTACGCCACTACAGGTTCTTCTTTTATTTACTATACCGTGAAAATAGTCCGTGTACATGCAGCTACAGTGCCCCATATAGGACCTTTTATCACATACCTATGTAATCTTACAATAGTAATACAACAACTTTCTGTTGATGTTTTCTGTCGTAGTGTATCACACATGTGAGATACAAGATGTTGTATCACCATACTAGCCGGAACTACTTTGTATGGGAATCCTCTTGTCATGGCGAACTGAAAAGTTCCTAGTATTTGCCAAAAAATATCAAAGTTTATAAAATCTTTGTATCGGTCTCTACCAAATACGGAAAGAATGAGATAAAAGCAAGACAACACACTTCCGCGCACGAGTGAATATAAACGTCCGCGAAATAAACTCGTGCTTTCTGATTCGTTAGAAAAACACAAGTGTGTGGTCTTGCATATGTATTGGATGACCTGAAGACTGGCTGTATCATTGTGGTATCAAAATAACATGGTTCACTAAGTATGTAATAAATAGATATTTGACGTCAGAGTAAGATATAGGAAGATCATTTCAAAACAGATACACAGAGAGTACGTCAGATAAAGACCTGAGTGGCATGGTTATAATAATTTCACATGTAGGTTAATTGTATTTCGCAATATCACACCGATTCACTAAATTGTCTGACATATTTAAAGCAACTTGGCAAAGTTACTACAATCACCAAGCAGACTGTCCTATCTTATATAACGTTAAATATTTTAATATTTTATATTTTGATATCTTATATAACGTTTTATATTTTAATATCAACTACGGTCACACAATTGCTAGCGTCCCTATGTTTGCCCAAGTGCGCGAGGTTATGAAAAGTAAACAGCGTCAGTTGAAACGCGTCGGAAAAGGTAATTTAGCACACAGAAGTGATCCAATAAATGACGCTGAAATCGACATGCTGTGAAAATCTGGCCAACTAGGTTTAAACAGACCTGACAGCTTACTACAAACTTTGTGGTTTTATAATACCGTTCATTTTGGTCTCCGGGGCTCGGCAGAACATAGGGACATGTGTTAGGGTGACGTAACTCTTGGAAAAGATGGGGATGGACAAGAATTTATTTCTGGAATTTGCTGAACGCCAAACAAAAACAAGAACGGGAGAAAATCCTCGTGATATTAGAGCTGTGAAACCGAAACTTTGGGCAAATCTGGAAAACCCTGACAAGTGCCCCGTGGCAATGTATAAACTTTACCGTGAAAAACGCCCGTCTGGCTACGATGCACCATCTGACCCTTTTAACGCAGCAACCAAACAAATATCATGGCCTAATATTCCAATTTGGTTCAAGAAACAGGCAGTAGGAGTGAATAAATTGTGCACCATGATGCAAAGAATGATCGAGTTGTCGGGAATCGAAACTGAAAAACATCTGTCAAATCACAGCGCTCGGAAATATCTTTTGCAAAAACTTAGTGACAGTAATGTTACCACCAACCAAATTATGCACATTTTAGGACACAAGAACATTTGATCAATAAACAACTATAGCCATATCAACACAGACCAACCCTAGCAAATTCCACAAATCCTGAGCTCCGGAAAAGCCGTTCTCTCACCTGCCAACATGTCAACGCCGTCAAGAAGGCCTATTTCCACGTGTTTCACAAAATCGTCAAGTTCTTCATCTTCGATATCAGAGATAGGTGGCGGTTTTGAATCAATTTTCAGTGGTCCTATTAGTGGCGGGAACATTAAAATCAATATTTACCAAGGTTGTGAAATTGAGAACTTTATAAAGTGATTTTTATATTAGTTTTCTTTGAACATAGGTATAAAATTGTAAACTTGAAGGGTTATTTACTTTATGCTATTGTCGTTATTTGCTTGAAAACATTAAATATACGTAAACAACCTTTGTCTTTTAAAAGAAATAATTGGTTTAAATAGTAGACTATGCTTGGTTGATTTCAGTATGTGCAAAAAAACATTTATAGCAGTAACTTATATGTATAAGTACAGCGAAAGGAAATATTTTTATTTCATTTTAATCCTAAGAAATTACTGTTATTAATTGTTATCGATGTAGATTTAAGTTAATATTTCAAAATCGAAACACATATCTCCATTAGAAAAATAAGGAAAAGATTCAACCGAAGTGGCATCCTTTCTGATGTCATTACAGTTTGTGATTCGTGTATGCACGTGCCAAATGATAAAATCACACATCTGTGAGTTTAAGCTATTTCTCTCTAATCATTGATTCTCTGTATCACTTGAAGCCATTCAATTCTTCGTTCAGTTGACAGGCAAATGCCTTGTACAAATGCGTCTGAAAACATGTTTCACAAAAATATTGATTACCGCAAATATGCACACCCCAGACATATAATACACTGCACATCAGTTTCATTGCAAATCGACAACTCAATACCTAGCAAACTATAACTGAACTATATTAGTCATTTCTACATAGGTCGTTAATATCTCTTGTAGAGAAAGATAAAAAAAACAAAACATCACACATAAAGCTAGTCTCACAGTTTTATTTTGTAGAAACAGAAAGTTGATAGGGTGTTCTGGATGATTGTTACAAGTTAGTGCAATAAATAGATTGGCAAGCATAAACGGATTTAACTCTTAAACAACGTGAATTCAACAAGTCTATGCTGCGTGAAAATCTACGGCAATCTACTAGACCTTGCTCTTCAAAATAATTATGTCGTTTTATAAAAATACATCATCAAATAAATACTCAACATACATAATTTATTATCGGGTTCCTGTGTTGTAGAATCAGCAATATTATATATTAATTTTTCAACGTTTGTAGGCCTTCAATTTACACGGCAACCATTACTGTGGGGATAAGACAAAGAGAGTCACGTGACAAACCCTTTTAATCAGAATATTGATATCCTCATTTGTCCTCGCTCCTAATGAAAACCTCATCAATTCTACTTATCTAATTGATAGCAATAAATCCAGCTCATCATTGAATTGAGATCGCTCGAGGACCTGTTCCCAGGGAATGGTGTGAATGCGTTGTAATAGTGACAAAGATATATAAGGTAGGTACTACATAAACACTGGCAGTAACGTTACGTATGACAGGTCAAAGCAGAAGACATACCCTCACGTGGATAACATGTTAACACTTTGATCAGCATATCTAACTCGTCACCGAATTGAAGAAAGTCCGGACAAAACTGATGATATTATCTCCTCATATAATTTTTGTTTCATCCTTTGTGTGTGGAATATTGATGAATCATTTATTTCGCTTTTTCTTTGAACAGAAGATCCAGCATGGGCGTGAAAACAATCATGACGTCACTTTGTCACACAGCTGTGTCATTTCAAAATGATGTCATTTGTATCATGACGTCATCATGTCTGTCCAGTGTGAACGTACTTGTCGCCTCTGCTGGTGATTTCGTCTGTTTGACAGCGCATGCGCGTGTAACTCTGAAGTGACAAGTTAAAATGACATCACCAATTATCATCTGTAACTTAATCATAGAAGTTAAACTCGGTGTTATGAATTGTAAACAGTCGATCAATAACTATATTGATCGTGATCACTAGAAACAAATTAATTCGTAATTTTATAAAAAGAAAACGCAAATTACAGCCTGAGGGGTTAAGAACTTACACTTTAAAATTACCTATTTTCAGCACAATTTTTTTCATTGTTTTCGAATATGGATTTTTTTTCAAAATCGTGCTAAAAATTCTAAAATCAATGCAAAGGTAGCCTCTTCCTGTGTATCTGTATATATCTATCTATTGAATCATATTATCATGATATTATTTAAAAAAAAAAAAAAAAGGTAAGATAGGAAAATCATCAAATATGTCAATTTATCAAAAAAAGTGATAACCTTATCTACCTTCTTTGAGAGTATATACAAATGTTAGTGATTGTGTTGTGCGACAATAACTAGGACGCCTCTGACTGCATAGAAAATACCCCAAAACTTAAATATCATAAATACTTTAAACATTTTACTCACCGGAAACGGTTCCAACAACGTCATTTCCGTCCGATCTGAGTATGCGCAATATAAGGGGTATTTCCTCTTCCGGTTCTGTCATTTCGTCATCCGCCATGGAGTCGACGTTACGATTGTGCTGTCTGTTATTCTAAACAGGAAGCAAATAGGAGTTATATCCCTTCTTACACGCAGTCAGGTTGAAGTATAAACTAAGCTGATTACTAGCAACGTTTTCAAAACAGTTTGAGTTAGCTCCCCTCTCATGTGTGTTTTACAAACCTCTCTGCGCTATCCGAGTGATCTTTTTTACTGTTCGTTCAAAACGTATTTTTTTTATGTCATACATTATTTTTATTTTAATAATGCAGTTATAACAATTTTGTTATTGGGAACGACTTTGTAGATCAGTTCATGAATAATAACACATGGGGTGACACAATCGAAAATCTATCAATACTTGTCACGCAATGATGTGACAGTCACCACGGAGTGGTTAGGTTTTCCTGTAGAAGGTTACAGATTTATAATAGGATTTGTGATCCGTGTTGAATAAAAAGTCATAAGGGTCATTGAAATGTTGGGTATCTTTTCTTCTTCTAAATCCATCTACAACTGACACTGGCAATAAATAAAAATGTTGTTTAAATGCAACGAGTTTATAATCAGGTACATGCAATTGACCATTACTGTTCATTTTGTGCTATTTATCGTATTACTGTGCTAAGGTATCGGACAAGAGTGATTGCAAACTGCGATGTGTTGACAAAAATACCGCATATGTCGTGCGGGTCAATAAGATAACTGTTAAGGCCTTAAAAATCCTCTCGACATAGCGCGGATGAAATATTACAAATTGCCCTAATTAGATCATTTACTTTAAAACAAATTTCGTGAGGACTATCACAAGACACGCGAACCTCCATCTTGAAGTGACTGTTTTAATGGCCGATTTTAAAACATCCACAGCATCATGGGAAAGGTTTCTCCAAATCGAAAATAGCTGTATTGTCATGTTGCTATAGCTATTCAGGCGATGAGATAAAATTTGACTCATGGAAATTTCCATGTAAGTTCTAAATACTTAAAACACATTATCGCTAATAACATTAGATCCGGAATTGTAAACCTTGAACAAAACCAGCCTGCGTTTAATGAATACCATAAGATGACGTCATAATTAATGATAATGAAGTGTTGACAATGTTTTGAGGTTCCCAAAATCCTCGATAATGTCTCGTTATTAATTAAATTTAGTGTTACTCTCTTATCGTTTATTACTGATTTCCGGTAGAAATCATAAATGAAATCTAATCCTATAACCATATTATCTTAATTGGACACAACAAGAATCTTCCTCCGCGTTTAGGAGATATCTAATGCTACCATTGTGACGTCTTAATAATGAGGATGAAAACAATAGGACAATTACACTTTACAACTAACAATCATATTTTGTTGTCGTATATAAAGGAAAGCAGCTATTGGAATAATAGTCGAGTCCAATAGCCTGGTATACGTAACGTGTTGTAACACCTGTCAGAGTCAGTATCTATATTCTGAGCTGTGAGGCGTACATTGGGTGTCAATATTGAGTACCAAATAGAGCAGAAGTCACGCTTTGGTCCCGGAAGTAGAGTCCTGGGTCAAATTGATCAAATTATGACAATAAATCCAGGAAATATTTCAAAACGACACTATAATCATGTAACGAAATGTAATATGTGTTGAATGCGACATTGATAGAAGTAATCCTGATACCCACGAGTTATCTCCCCGAGGCTTTACTGACCACCAGAGGGCGTGAATATTATGATATACCATGCTTTCTAGACTACAATAAACAATTCTGCAGAGGGGAAAATAGAAAGGACGTTCAGAAAACAACCAAGTATCCGATATCATCACCAGTCACCAGCCCCTAGGGTTGTAACCTTGTAGCTGGAATCCATTTGGCTCGGTTTACATTATGCTTGTTCAAAGAATACATTATCTACTGTGGTCGGATTTTGTAATGTTAAAAATAATATATTTCTATCTGTCCCTTTTTGCTATTTTCTACAACTGGTTGGAACACTATTAGATATATTTTTTTCATTATTTTGACCTTGTATTACCACTGATATATCCGACATGACGAAATGGCCATACAGATGTTTCGTGCTATAAAACGTTTACTCCTCTGGAGTTCTGCATCTAAACGTTAAATAGATGCTTCCTTATTTCTAGTAATTGTTTACTGTTGTTTACTACAGCAACACGCTAAGTATATAATACATACGACTTCATTGCATGCCTGAATGGACACTCCTCCATTCGATTTTCATAACACTTCCTACGAATCCTTTTCTGATGTACAATCCAATTGCTTCTAGGTATCGTTATCATTGTCAGAATTTGTTTTCACTTGTACTATCTGTAGAAAGGTTATGTGTCACAGATTAAAGTATTATGACACCGCGGACATACCATCATAATAGAGTTTGCACAGGGTAACAACAAGCAAACTTTGAAAATTCGTTACATTTGATCAGTAAAAATCATTATCACTACAATAGCGTCTAAAATAAGGAAGGAAACATTTACGACTACAGGATTCATCGTTTTTTGTTCTATTTCTATATTGATGACTTTCTCCAGACTTTTTCCGAAAGGCTATTCCATAGAGTTGCTGGAGTAGAAATGATGCAGTATCGGTAATATTGCATTTTACTATTTCAAAACTGTTGCTTTCTTATCAGTGACGCAGGATTCCTTTCTCCTATGAAAGTAGATAATAATTCAATTATTTTTTTCATTGCTGTTTTGATTGTTTCCGAACCAGTTTCAAAATATAACGACTGTCAAATGGCAAGCATTGGCAAAAAAAGTATAATTTAAATTGCTTCAAGGTGAAGTTAATCGAATAAACATGAAATTCTCTAACAACTACTCCGAAGTTATTTATACTAACTTATTAAGTTCTCAACCTCCCCAAAATTGATTAGCAAATCGGACACAATTATTGCAATTTATTGATAAGTTTTCCTCGTTGTATTCAGCAACTAAAAGTAGATCGAGGTTGAGTAGGCATTGGCCCTGTGAATGGCGGTTTTCTGTGGTAAATATTCCTTATTCCGCGAATTACAATAATTATTGCAACTAGGTGCAGTGTTTAAACCTTATTTACACGGTACAAATCATATTCGGGAGGATACGTAGCAATGCTAGCTATCTAGGCTTTATTCTAAAAATGAATATTTTGCATTCGTCAATGTGCTTAAGGAGGCTATGAAAACTTTAGAGAACGAGAATGATTTGTTTCGTCATTGAATGGTTCCTAAAACATAAAGTTGATGGCAGAATGACGATTTTTTGAAATTTTTATTTTCTAAACGTAGGGCAATTAAAGGCAACGCCAGTCCGTTTATTGTACCGATTAGCTATCAAATCTGTTCGTACCAATTCATACCACTGCGGATGATGTCACAACCGTGGAATGAAGTGGTCTGTTAAGACATTCTAACGTGGGACAATAATCTCCTTACAGGGATAGAAACCTTATTAATGTCACAACATCATGTCCTTATAAGAGGCGATTATCAAATAACAAAACGGACGACGGATTGAGTACTGGCTGATACTCCCATGGCGAGAGCGGATTGTAGTCGGGTCTCGTGGCAAACCATTGAACTAAGCTTGTATGTCCTAGACTCAATATACCAGACATGCTGCTGGATTAAGTATTAACCTTATTCTTGCAGATTCTTTTTACAATTTTTTTTTTTACCCTAATAGCTATTAAGCTAAAGGATTTAGAAAATGCATACATCTTTTTATGTATAGACGTATAAACAAGTAAAGAAATGGTTAAGGCTCGTTAGGAGTGTAATAAAGTCTAGGTCAGTTCTAGGAATGTACGCACAATAAGTGTAGGTAGCATGTAGTGATTTTTTTTTTATTGTTCGGTAAGGTATGCATAATTAATCATTGTATCTAACTTTAGTTGAAATCGTATAAAACATAATCAATACATGTACGATTAAAGGAAAAACATATTTAATTGGTTTTTTTTTTTTTTTTTTTTTTAAATAGCGCAATATGGCTTTTGTTTCCATTCAGGTATCATCAGTGGAATTGAATTTTGAAATAATGAAAAATCCACGGCTATAGTGTTCAAAACATTTAGCAATACAGAACTGTTGCCCCTGAATTCCTTTAAAAGGCACACACTTACGTGTTTTGGTTCAACATTCTTTAAACACACCTTTATGTAAACGGCGCAAGAATAATTCCAGGTACAAGGTTAAGGCCAACTTCGGGGACTTATAGACCAGCAAAGTAAACCTCAGTTGGAATCGAAATAGTAACCTAAGGCTTGATATTTATGGACAAGAAGCCGTCGCCATCTTAATCTCGTCCTAACGGCGGCAGGGTAGATCCACTACGTGTCTTTTATGTTGTTAAGTGTGATGAGAACATAATACGAAGCAATGTGGTGGTTATTTACTCACAGTAAGACTTGTATGAAATGGTTCTCAATGTCGTACTGTCTTAGTTGAAACACTTGTAATCAAAACCTTTTTAAAGTGACCCTCATTGGGTATGCTTTCTAAATTGACATTTATTGTAAAACCTGTCGAAATTGATAATTTAAGTTTCTCTTACTTAAAGTGACAATTGATTAAAAACTTCTCTTAAAGGACACTACTCATAAAATCTGTCTAACAAGGACACTTAATAGAACGTCCCTCTAGAATGACACTAGATTGTAACACCTTTGAAGATAAGTTTTTAATTCAACATAAATAGCCTTTGGTGAAATTTAAATTAGTAAAATCCATGTCCTATGATAAGATTAATGCTTGGCAACTGACAGGATAGTAACTGCATTTGTCACGGCAGTTTTTAGTGTAAGTAGTCTCAGATTTTGATGCTAAAATATCCTGACCCATCTCTGTAAACGATAATGTAATAAGTCGTGTTTAAATCTCCCATAGGTTTCACATAAAGTAACGAGGAAGGGAGAGCAGCGGATCTTTTCTGTGGGAAAGCGGACACATCGAGGCTCATATGGCCGGGATCTGTTAGATAATATAAGGTTAAAGGTTTACCCTGCAGGAACCGGCAGCTATCATGAACACACTAGGTAATTGCAATATCTTTGAAAAAACGACAAAAATAAAAATAAAAAAAGTAAACAACGAAAAAACAAAAACACGAAGTACTAGTAACAACGAAATTTTGTGGGAACGAAAGATCTAGACAAGAACAAAAAACAAAAACAAAAAAAACAAAAAAACTGAATATGTAAAGTGCTTAAAATACAAAATTGTATAAACCATCCGCATTCAACAGCTACTGGACGCATAATGGTCACAGAGTATGAGTATTGATAAGTTTGACTTGAAACCTGACTTTTTATTCTTCTATTTATAATAGTTTAGTAAAACATTTCACATACGTAAGAAGAACCCCTCCAATTGGAAAGATGGGGGAGAATTTATAAAACGAACGTTAAGCGTCTGAAACCGACCTGATCGACTCTGGTCGAAATTTAATTTCTGCAGCTTTGCAAAAGTGCTATTTAACAAACAAACAAACAAACAAACAAACAAACAAAAAAATGGAAATACCAGAGAGGTTTTCCCTTAATCGGAAATATTACGAACTTTAATTTTTGTTTATCATTATATTCACCAAATCGAAATAATCAGAATTAGCAGATACTTGAATAGTTTCTCATTTGCAAATGGGATACATCACTCAGCAGTATATATCTTAAACTTCGACGTGTCAAAACGTTGTCATGCAATTCCATGTAAGTCGCTAGGTTACAACAGACAGGCCATGAAATCATAAACCTGTTACTAAATCACCAATAAACATCACCTTGATATAACAAACAGCGCCATCTGGTGGCTGTATACTTACTATGTTAGAGTCGACTCCCTTTTGGTCGATGTCAAATAGCCAGGCTGTCGTCATGTGTAAAATAACAACAACAACTGTAGCCGTGCACGCTAGCCTCATCACTCCTGTAACACAAGTATTGATTGGTCAATTAATGATGTAAAATTATGTAACAAGGATAGGGGTTTGTCAAATAAGTATACAGATATATAACAAACACATGGGTTGGTTGGTGAATTGATGATAAAGTGTGTATACAATAAAGTGCTATTTGTAAAGAAACAATAATTTGCGTCTTTAATGATACTAACTTTAAAAGAATAAAATATTACTACATCAAGTAAAACACGTCGGTGCAGAACGTCAAACAAAGACAACACTTGAGTGCAGCTCATGGTCATTTTGCCCATTAAGTTTGTAGACTACAATCAGTCACGACGTTTGAAATTTGATAGACATGAGAAATAATAATAATGCTACTTAGACCTATAAAACACATGTTTACGGCCAAAACGCAAAAATTAAAAATCAGTATAAATTAAAACTTCACTTTAGATTAATCACAGAACCAGATTGGAAATATGTAATACCAAAGTGTTACTTTCTACATTGTTTGTGTGGAATGTAACACTTTGATATCGACAGAACATTGTTTCCTATGGTTTAACCGTTATATATAGATAGCATACACTGATACAGACCTCGTTATTTGTCTTGTTTAAGACTAAGATTCCAAATACTCACTTTGAACAGTTTTATGTCACAGAGAAAAGAAAGTGTCTGCGATCTGTCATCGCTGCTTTCAATCAGAATAATGAAAAATAAAATTAGTTCCTTCCATTACGATGCATAGTGAGGTATTTGTGTGCAGAAATACTTCTAAAAGTGGTGATTATTACCACAATGACAAAGGCGTGAACCCTTTCTGGTAGGTTGTGTCGTTATCCCTTTACTGTTGTGTTGTTTTATCATCATTAAACAGATGGTCATCTACATAACCAGCGGTCGTTAAAACTCCCTGGCCAACAGCAATGAAAGTCACACTACTTTTTGTATGAGTGACCTTCTAAAATATACGGGCGAATCATTCGTTATTGTAAATCATCATGATATAAACCATTAGTGAATTAATTCTACACACATCGTGATGCAGTTTATGAAATGCCCTATGTATAACAAAAAAGATAATTATACTACCATCTAAAATATTTAAATATTTTTTAAATAATTAAAAAATCCACCAGAAACATTGAAATGTTATATTAAAAATCTGAGAGGCATCGTAATATTATTTCAAATAAGTAATTATTCCTACTGGAAAACGACAAAACTTGGGCAAATATGAACAAATGAAATACTTAAAAGGAAACCATTGAAAAAAATGAAAGGATGTAAGACGAGGTGTTCCGGATGGCTAAACGTTTTCTGCTTCATTAACGACATCTTCAATATAAATCTAGGTTATATCCAAGTTTTACTGCGTCCTCCAACTGCTAGTCGGGGCAGTGACACCAAAACTAGGCACAATAATGAGTATAATTAAAACTTGTCGATATTCGACCAAAACTGACTATTTCTCTATGATATCATTATGGATACCATTTTACTTGCTCATAGTCTTAACCAACCGTAATCTCTCGAAACCTTGTGTTGTATACCTGTCAGTATTCAAACATCTATCACGAGGTTCGTAATTTCCAAGCCCGGGAATAACAAATCAACCAACTACGAACGATGTATGACACCGAAGGCGGGAGATGCATATATGTTACAATTTCCAAGGAAGAGACAATGAGCTTGTCGTGCAGCTTGGTAAAACGTTGTCTATGGTGGTCACGTTATAAGTGATGATCTATGAAAATGGAAAAAAGGAAAAAACAAGTATGTGGTGTCTGTGATCTCAAGCGTGGGAGGTTGCATACGGTCGACGATGTCAGGGAATCTCTTGTTATTTAAATACAACGTCTCGACAATATGACCCAAAGCGATAAAGTAAGCCTCATATAAAAGAAGAATTCCGCCAAATGAGGGCCACAGTTTGCTCTATTCGTATACCAACAATTTGTTGGGAAAAGTATTGCTACCAGACTAAATTATCATTAACAAGGAATTCAATCATTCTCATGTTCATTCTTAGTATATTTCATGTTTGCTTTTGTCGTGTTTTTCAACAAGATATGCTCCAAAATATTTTTCACCATATATTTGTATTGCAGTTCGCTTATATTGGAAAAGAAATTTTTGATAATAAGAGAATGAAGGTGTACATGGAAAAAAGTCGCATTGTTCACATAGCGGAAACGTTTTTAACGCCTTTTTAGCATATCCTAGCTACAGAGTCGTAGAGTAATTAATTATATAAAGTCTCCAACCTAGTTCCGCAGGTAACCAGGAACAACTGGAGCTAAAATCATCTTGTAATATATCTAAAACACACAGTGAAAATGATTAAATTGAGTTAAACATAGTGCACACCTATCACCATTTAATTAACTTATGACGTCGTCAAATCCCTCAGTCTCAAAACCTTACAGACAAAACATGAGGATAAGAAGGTTTGGTGTGATCACAAAGTTCGTTCTTTTTCTATTAATTAAATTGTTGTCGGGACGATGCTACAGAATCGCGCTTAGACAGAAGATCATATGCGAAGTTTGCGTCCAGAAAACATATAGGCATGTTGACATGATCGCTCCGACGTGCTAGCCTTAGAAATGGGAACCAAATAACATTAACCAACGGCACAGCGTCAGTCTGTCCATGTTGATGTTATTATTTATTTGGGTTCGCATGCACAGTCATGGAAATGGTGTCGTTCTAATTTAACATAACTATCTAATTGAGATCAGAAAGGTTAACTTCAGTTTATTATTTAGAAATCCGTCTTCCATAAACACCAGATTTTTGACATGCACGACATAAAATCATGTTTAACTCGCCAAAGCGTCAATCAGAAGACATACCTAGTCTAAAGGAGTATAGACTAGTATGGCCAAATTCGAAAATCTTCATTTTTTCTTCTTAAGTTTTATAATAATAAATGTTTTTCTATTACATATTATACACTACCCTGAGGCTTCTACTAAAATGGCAGATACATGTTTCCCATGTGTGTCAACGTCTGATCAACCCTAAAAGTATTAATGCTTTACTATGCTATTAATGTGAAAAACCTTTTAGAAGTGTAGTGACTGTCGCTGTTAAGCATGTAACATATCAATAATTGTCATCGGCTATCTGTACAGCTTTCCTCAGAAAACACCCACCCCTTAGCCACAACAATCGCGTTATTTTAGAAAGAGTCCTCCAATGTCTTGCTGTTCGATATGTGGAATTATTTATAAATACTATATTTGTGGTTTAATAAAATTAAAACATAAACAATTATCGATTGTGGAGCGTCTACTGAACACATTAAATGTACAATTAACGTTATAAAGGATAGAGGAATATTTCCTTTACGGATTCCATGTTTCCTTAATGATGTCATGTTTCGTCAATAGATTACATGTCTCGTTAATGTCTGTCATGTTCATTTAAGCACTCCTAGCACCACGAGTCTTGGTTGTACGTTACGGCTTCTGGTACCAACTTTGATTTACTTCATAACCAGCAGATTTATGGAATAAGTTTCACGCGAAACCGTTTATCAGTACATATGAAGTAAACATCTCGCCTAAGTTTTGAACGCCTCATTATCGTAACGACCAGTTCATGCAGATTATTTTATAAATATCTGTTAATATAAGTATGTAATGTTGTCCTCCGATGACCATTTAACTTCGCCGGGCTGCTAATTCGCAATTTTGCCGAACAGAACTATTTCGCGGGGTTTAAAGTTCGCGCAACGTTCCAGGAAAAAACGTTCCACTCACGAGGGTACTTTTATCTCTTTTAAATATCCACTAATCATCAGTAAAAAAGGTTAATAAAAGTGAGAGGTAAGTTAAAGGAGTATTAATTTTCGTTGGATATTTTACTTTGCGCTAACTTTGGCGACTGCGAATATAGTTAAATAACTTTTCCGCGAAAATCACCAATTATACCTTGTTTTTCAGAATCACTGCAGTAATAATGTAAAATATCACAAAATGTACATTGCATAACAAGAGCGATGATTCTTGCCCACCTAGACTGTAGAGTTAAATACTTTTAATGTTATTATTTATAATATTTATAAGAAGAAACACCAAGAAGAAAGCATCTATTTATAAATTGATTATGTTTGATGCAGAAATCCGAAGAACATTTATTTAACTTTCTATATCGGCAAACAATTTTTTCAAAATGAAATTTTACTGCACCTTATGACCATTTTGTCAATTTAGGATTCATTTGAGGTACCAAATGTAAAAAGAAATAAACTCTATATATAAACTATTCTGACACGGGTGTAGAAATACAAGGTCAGATGAATAGCCAATACAACCATGTAAGTGTTTATATTCACCCTGATCAGACAGGAATACTAATGTATTGAAGTTGTTCAATTTACTAACAGAATAGTTTTTCAAACATGTCATTTAACATATATTTACTTTTGTTTTTATAAATAAACACTAATCTTACTTTAATATTATATTATATTTTTATGCTCATGAATATGATAAAAAATATTTTTTCAAATCATAACCTCAGAAAATGATTTATGGGTTTAACACATTTCTACATTGCATATATATTTTTTATTTTCTGATTATAATAAAATACTTGTGTCTATGTCTTTTTGTGCGTAATTTCTCTTTTTTTTTTTTTAATTCAGAAAAATAGTTTTAAGTGTTATATTGTATACACTTCCCTTATTCCAACAATAAGACATGGTATAGTTAACAGGACCCCGTAGTAGAAATGACGAGAACCTTGTTTGTGATTCGGGCCAAAACGTTTGGTTTATTTATCTATATTTATTTAAAATTTGTAGGAGAGGGCATAGGTGATATAAATTTACCTAAAGAATATAAATCTAATTCAATTCAAATCTGGATTGTTGCTAGATCTTTACACGAGAGTAAGAAATTACAAGTATGGCCACGTTACATATGCATATAACGCAAACTAATTGTATATCCTATTTTTTCGTAAACGGTATAATAATTTTGTTTCAGTCCTCAAAGTTCAGTTTGAAAGGAAAATCACCTATTAATGATAGGAAATTTAGATCTGATCGAAAAGGTCATTTTGCAAAAGAATCAGTATGCCAACTTGTTTTTAAAGTCCACAAGAAGAAATCTTATAGAAAGAAAAAGTATTATTTTTTACAAGACAAAATACTTTCATGCAGTAATCACATGTTTGGAATAGATAGAACTATAACCACTATTTTAAATTTTAAAACAACAATGTCATTATGGGAATTTGCAAACAGTTTACCGATTATACTCTACCTTTTTAATTACTTACCTTGTTAAACTGTAGTAAAGGAATTAAAACTCCAAAATGTGTGACCGAGACAACCAGTAGTTTATCCTGCTAGTCTTGTTAGATTCATGGGTCGTCAGACTAACGTCTATATTGACAGAAAATCCTCTTATCTCTCTCAGACACGCTAATCGTCGTCAAATGTCGCACCTGTGCAAATTGCACCTGAGACGTCCAATATGAAAGGTACACAATAAATTGATATTTTCTACATTCTGTGACTCCTGTTGCCTTTTATGTCCGATTCCAATGTAGGCGAGTCGTGTGGAATCCCAAGTGTTATCAACTCGACACGATTTTCCTGATCGGATTGGCTTCATACAACATTTAAATTATTAGCATAACTTAAGGCTACCAATAACTTCTTTATGAACTATAAAACAATTAATGTAATTGGTGGGCAAACGTGTTGTCTTTATACCTACATACACCTATTTATTTTGGAGGTATTTAATGGACAATGGCGGATTGAACTATAGTTTATGGGTGTATTAAGCTTATCATGCCTCGTCTTACCCGTCATTGACGACAAACTCAAACAAGACGTATAAGGATATGACAAGCTTACCCAGGGGAGCTTACTCTTGTCACCAGTGAACATACATAGGCGGATTGAATGCTGCAAATTGCAAAAGCGATTTGACTAGGGCATCCACGTGCACGAGCAGATTGGCTGATGGCGAAGACAATGTCCCATGGTACCTGTCGTAAAGGCGAACAGCCCAGCTCGACACTCTCTCAATCAACATTTCAATAAAATGGAATTATACGGAGGCCGAGAGTGTCTTTCTATCACTCATACACTTAGTATGGAAGCAATAAAAGTAAACAGATTTTGTTGTTCTTTGGGTTTTTTTGTTGCTTTTTTGTTTTTATTTAGTAATTTCTTTCTTTTTGTGATGGTTTTGCGGTCTTGCGTGTAAATGTACCAAATCCTTTTTAACGTTTTTACTCGATATTAGGACAAGCTTGTTATGGATCATACTGCTGTATCTGTTCAGCATGACAGATCTACGACATTGAAATTTAGCATATCTTCATGCTACAGTCAAACCGTAAAGGTGTAAAAGGAACGTTTCTCGAAATCAGCAGAAACTTCAATTGTTTATAGATCCTTTGATGATCTATTTTCCTGCCTATATAACTGTTTTGGAGAATGTTTGAATTGCTCCGAAAATAAATATTACGTATTTCAAATATAACATAAAAAAACCGTAGTTTTGTTACGCCTATTATGGGTCAAAGTTAGCTAGAAATCATTAAACTTTTATGATGTTGCGTGAACCTGAATAAATGAGGTCCATGAAAAAACAATGATTACCTCGCTTAATTGAAGATGATAAGGTACACAAATAGATATATCTATAAAAAGGGAATGGATATCGAGTCCTCGAACACCTGATTTCTCACCGAGACTGACCGTGATTTTGCAGCTGAAATGTATGTACTAATATTAGTTAAACAAGGGAATATCTGTTGTAGCTAGACGCTATATTTATATTTATATTATTTAAACCTGTGATTATCTGTTGTACGCAGAAGTTATATTTATTTAATTGTCAGTTAGACAAAGGGTTATCAGTTGTGGCTTAACGCTGTATTTATATCAAGATTAGTTATAGAGATATCATTTATTGTAGCTAGATGTTATAATTATTTATATTAACATTAGTTAATAAAAAGATAATCTGTTTTGAATTGACGAGTCACCAATAATCCGGTTGTCCCGTTACCCAATCCGTTAATCCAGGTTATACTAATCCGGTTGTCCTACTACCCTGTCCGTTAATTTAGTCACCACTAGTCCAGTTGTCTTACCACCCTTTCCGTTAATTAAGTCACCAATAGTCCAGTTGTCTTTCTACCCTTCCCGTTAATTTAGTCACCACTAGTCCAGTTGTCTTACCACCCTTCCCGTTAATTTTGTCACCACTCATCCAGTTGTCTTACCACCCTTTCCGTTAATTAAGTCACCAATAGTCCAGTTGTCTTTCTACCCTTCCCGTTAATTTAGTCACCACTAGTCCAGTTGTCTTACTACCCTTTCCGTTAATTAAGTCACCAATAGTCCAGTTGTCTTTCTACCCTTCCCGTTAATTTAGTCACCACTAGTCCAGTTGTCTTACTACCCTTTCCGTTAATTAAGTCACCAATAGTCCAGTTGTCTTTCTACCCTTCCCGTTAATTTAGTCACCACTAGTCCAGTTGTCTTACTACCCTTTCCGTTAATTAAGTCACCAATAGTCCAGTTGTCTTTCTACCCTTCCCGTTAATTTAGTCACCACTAGTCCAGTTGTCTTACTACCCTTTCCGTTAATTAAGTCACCAATAGTCCAGTTGTCTTTCTACCCTTCCCGTTAATTTAGTCACCACTAGTCCAGTTGTCTTACTACCCTTTCCGTTAATTAAGTCACCAATAGTCCAGTTGTCTTTCTACCCTTCCCGTTAATTTAGTCACCACTAGTCCAGTTGTCTTACTACCCTTTCCGTTAATTAAGTCACCAATAGTCCAGTTGTCTTTCTACCCTTCCCGTTAATTTAGTCACCACTAGTCCAGTTGTCTTACTACCCTTTCCGTTAATTAAGTCACCAATAGTCCAGTTGTCTTTCTACCCTTCCCGTTAATTTAGTCACCACTAGTCCAGTTGTCTTACTACCCTTTCCGTTAATTAAGTCACCAATAGTCCAGTTGTCTTTCTACCCTTCCCGTTAATTTAGTCACCACTAGTCCAGTTGTCTTACTACCCTTTCCGTTAATTAAGTCACCAATAGTCCAGTTGTCTTTCTACCCTTCCCGTTAATTTAGTCACCACTAGTCCAGTTGTCTTACTACCCTTTCCGTTAATTAAGTCACCAATAGTCCAGTTGTCTTTCTACCCTTCCCGTTAATTTAGTCACCACTAGTCCAGTTGTCTTACTACCCTTTCCGTTAATTAAGTCACCAATAGTCCAGTTGTCTTTCTACCCTTCCCGTTAATTTAGTCACCACTAGTCCAGTTGTCTTACTACCCTTTCCGTTAATTAAGTCACCAATAGTCCAGTTGTCTTTCTACCCTTTCCGTTAATTTAGTCACCACTAGTCCAGTTGTCTTACTACCCTTTCCGTTAATTAAGTCACCAATAGTCCAGTTGTCTTTCTACCCTTCCCGTTAATTTAGTCACCACTAGTCCAGTTGTCTTACTACCCTTTCCGTTAATTAAGTCACCAATAGTCCAGTTGTCTTTCTACCCTTCCCGTTAATTTAGTCACCACTAGTCCAGTTGTCTTACTACCCTTTCCGTTAATTAAGTCACCAATAGTCCAGTTGTCTTTCTACCCTTCCCGTTAATTTAGTCACCACTAGTCCAGTTGTCTTACTACCCTTTCCGTTAATTAAGTCACCAATAGTCCAGTTGTCTTTCTACCCTTCCCGTTAATTTAGTCACCACTAGTCCAGTTGTCTTACTACCCTTTCCGTTAATTAAGTCACCAATAGTCCAGTTGTCTTTCTACCCTTCCCGTTAATTTAGTCACCACTAGTCCAGTTGTCTTACTACCCTTTCCGTTAATTAAGTCACCAATAGTCCAGTTGTCTTTCTACCCTTCCCGTTAATTTAGTCACCACTAGTCCAGTTGTCTTACTACCCTTTCCGTTAATTAAGTCACCAATAGTCCAGTTGTCTTTCTACCCTTCCCGTTAATTTAGTCACCACTAGTCCAGTTGTCTTACTACCCTTTCCGTTAATTAAGTCACCAATAGTCCAGTTGTCTTTCTACCCTTCCCGTTAATTTAGTCACCACTAGTCCAGTTGTCTTACTACCCTTTCCGTTAATTAAGTCACCAATAGTCCAGTTGTCTTTCTACCCTTCCCGTTAATTTAGTCACCACTAGTCCAGTTGTCTTACTACCCTTTCCGTTAATTAAGTCACCAATAGTCCAGTTGTCTTTCTACCCTTCCCGTTAATTTTGTCACCACTAGTCCAGTTGTCTTACTACCCTTCCCGTTAATTTTGTCACCACTAATCCAGTTGTCTTACCACCCTTCCCGTTAATTTTGTCACCACTAATCCAGTTGTCTTACCACCCTTCCCGTTAATTTAGTCACCACTAATCCGGTTGTCTTACTACCCTTTCCGTTAATTAAGTCACCAATAGTCCAGTTGTCTTACTACCCTTCCCGTTAATTAAGTCACCAATAGTCCAGTTGTCTTTCTACCCTTCCCGTTAATTAAGTCACCAATAGTCCAGTTGTCTTTCTACCCTTCCCGTTAATTTAGTCACCACTAGTCCAGTTGTCTTTCTACCCTTCCCGTTAATTTAGTCACCAATAGTCCAGTTGTCTTACTACCCTTCCCGTTAATTAAGTCACCAATAGTCCAGTTGTCTTTCTACCCTTCCCGTTAATTTAGTCACCACTAGTCCAGTTGTCTTTCTACCCTTCCCGTTAATTTAGTCACCACTAGTCCAGTTGTCTTACTACCCTTCCCGTTAATTTAGTCACCACTATTGGTGATCAATAGAGACACTGCAACCTACCAGATATTACATTATAAACACGAGTATGTCCTGGACCTCAAAAAGCTTACAACCAGTGAAAAATAGATTATGCTAAATACAAAGTCCCTTAAAAAAATGTTCCAATACTTATGTACTTTATAGTTTATATGAAGTAAACTTCAGCTGTTTCATTTCATTCAGCAACCAAAATAAGAAAGACAGAATACAACTGATAAAGAATTCGAACTATAATAATGAGAGTTGGAACAAAATACGTTAAAAACAAGTGGTAGAAAGGTTACATAAACCATAGCGAACAGTATTCTGAACAAGTGGTAGAAAGGTTACATAAAACATAGCGAGCAGTATTTTGAACAAGTGGTAGAAAGGTTACATAAACCATAGCGAGCAGTATTCTGAACAAGTGATAGAAAGACTACATAAACCATAGCGAGCAGTATTCTGAACAAGTGGTAGAAAGGTTACATAAACCATAGCGAGCAGTATTCTGAACAAGTGGTAGAAAGGTTACATAAACCATAGCGAGCAGTATTCTGAACAAGTGGTAGAAAGGCTACATAAACCATAGCGAGCAGTATTCTGAACAAGTGGTAGAAAGGTTACATAAACCATAGCGAGCAGTATTCTGAACAAGTGGTAGAAAGGCTACATAAACCATAGCGAGCAGTATTCTGAACAAGTGGTAGAAAG